TGTTTGTTAATATTTGAGTGCTGTCATTGGTTCTTTTTTGACAATTGACGCGCGAATGGGGCGTGTTATGAAAAGGGGCGTTTTACAAAATACCGGGCGATGGTTGCAGGCCCACTATCAGTTCCCTTGGGCCTGCACGCAGGCTATTATTTAGCTAGCTGTCGATTACTATCCTAAAGGATTTATTTAATACTGAGATGTGTAACGAAATAGAGAGATCTTCTGATTTCTAAAATATCGCAAACTACAAGCGGAACAAAGTTCAACAAACCATCTTGCTTGTAAACAATGCTACTCGGCAGTGACGCAGCAAACTCGATAATTGGGGGGCCAATATTCATATATTCGTGTTCACAGACCTTAAAAACAATCGATTTCAAACGAAATTAAAGAACACGAATATATGAATATCCCCCCCCCCAATTATCGAGTTTGCTACGCCACTGCTACTCGGACTGTTATTAAAAGCGCTGTGAAATTTCCAAATTCCAACATTGCCATTGGCATTCGGACTTCGCTGATACTTGATGCTCAAGAATTATGTCGAAGTATATACCTCCCTAGCTGTTATCAAACCTACGGTAAAATAATCCGACAATAGCCTACTCAAAGGTAAATCAAAGACTCTTCTGTGAGTGTATATGTTACAAATACGAATACTGTATGCAGGTCGATAATTGGGGGGGGGGGGGCGGATATTCATCTATTCGTGTTCTGCGTTATTAATTTCTTTAGAATTCGATTGTTTTTATGGTCTGTGAACACGAAAATCTGCCCCCCCCCAATTATCGAGCATGCTACTGCACTGTGTATGTGACTGCGCATTTGCAAGTAACTTATGTTTGATACTATAGAGAATACAGTCCATGTGATAAATTTGATACTAACGGCTTATTGACCGAGCGTTCTATCTGTATTGTGAAATATCAGACCGAGGTTTTTTAGTCGGGACCTAGCGACGAAGGAGCGAGGTCCATGCAAAAAACAGAGGTCTGATATTTCACAGTACAGACCGAACAAGCGAGGTCAATAATCGGTTTATTATATGGCAGAACTGTGTCGCGCGAGTTAAATCGGCTATCGTCAGTTTCACTGGGTACACACAAGTTTAATGACACAAAGCAAGAATTTTTCTGTTTGCAAAGCAAAAATTTCCCGCCAGATAAAAGACATCCGGAACACGGGTCCAGATACGGAAATACGGACCACGGTCCGGATATGGGTTTTTACAGACCGCTTGTCAACCAATCAGAATAGAGAATTTTGAAAAGCCATATAATAAATAGCTTTAATTGTGACATTAGCTTTACTCTAATTTGTTTGTCGATGTTCTTAAAGTAATACGCGAAATATGATACTGAATCAAACTCTAAGACTAAGTAAATGTTATTTTTTTATTAACTTTACCATCAAACGACTGATGGTAAGGACAACAGGGCATGAGTCCCTAATTAATATAAGTCCCACCAAAGACTTAGATTACATAATTACTTATATGTATTACAAGAATACATATTATATACATAAACATTAGGACATACAACAACTATAATTACATTTATGAACAACTACAGTTTGTATGTAAAGAACGACATTTACTACACATAGTTTTCCATATTCTAGGACGGTCTGCATCAAATGTACTGTTCAGCTGCTTAGTGTAAAATATATATAGTTTAGATTTAAGTATGGCGACTGTCGAAGATTATTTGATATCAGACGGTAAATTGTTCCATAAAAATACAATTCTGTTAAAGTATGAGTTTCGGAAGAGGGCGGTTTTGCACAGGTTTGGACGAAGATTACCAGAACTGGAACTCGAACGAGTGGAGTGGTGAAGAGGTTTGGTAATGTCGTGGTTGATGTCAAGTTCGTACAACCCAGATTTCCATTTGTAGAGGAATATGATGTCTTTAATTTCATACCAGGATGAGAAGGGGATTAGATTCAGTTTTTTCAAGCGACCCGCAACGTACGACAATTCATAGTTCTGAAGAATAAACTTTGTTGCTCGACGTCGAATTCCTTCGTACCTTGATGAGCCCAGACTTCGCAACCAAACGATAAGTGAGAGCGGACCAGAGCCAAAAATGCACGTCAGTGAGGTGGAAACAATTGCGTCGCAGAAACTCGAGCATTCTGTTGCCTTTAGAAACGATATTGATGATGTGTTGAGACCATCTTATATTGTCGCTCACCAGGATACCCAAATGCCTTGTGTGGGGGACGACTTTATAAGTTTCTGGTTTAGCGAGTAGTCTTGAAGTGGAACGAAGGTTTTCTTTCGCGAAAATCTGAGAGCAACACACTTCTAGGCATTGAAATTTAAGTCCCACATCTTAGACCATTGGTGGAGGGAATTTAGGGCATCCTGAAGAAGATCTCCGTATCTCGTGGTTGGGTAATTCTGTGGTGGTTATAACTGCATGTGCATATCAGACTGATTGAGTGGTATCAGTGTTTATGCTGTATTTTATGGAATTATCTTTGACTATGTTCGTGTTATAAAATGTGTCTTGTATAGACTGTGTATCAAAAAAATATTTTTATAAATATTGCTGCTACCTCATTACTTAATGCATGGAGGCCGAAAAAAAAGATAAAGCCGTGATTGTAAATAATATACCGCCTGATATATACGCATTTCCTTGAGGTTGAAAAATTATGAACCATTGAATTAAAAGTATACGTATTTTCAAAGATACATCTTCGACAGTTTTAAAGTGAGCATCCAGTCTTTGTTTTGCAGTGTCCACATGTTTACATTGTTGGACCAGGAACTGGTCCCCAATCGCTGCTAATCTTGTTGTTGTTGTTGTTGTTGTTGTTGTTGTTGTTGTTGTTGTTGTTGTTGTTGTTGTTGTTGTTGTTGTTGTTGTTGTTGTTGTTGTTGTTGTTGTAAGGGGGCGACGGTCTTTGAAAAAACCCTAAGGCTCCGTCATTACTTGTCTGATCGGAATGAAATTTGACACAAGTATTCTAAGCAATATTCCGCATCGATTGACGGTGTTCGATTTTTCATTTTTGACTTTAGAAGCAAGATACAAGCAATTTTTGACTGTATTCGTAGCAAATAATATATACATATCATTAATATGCAGCAAACGATAAAAAAGACATTGTCTTGTCTATTGTTGTGAACACAATCACAATAGTCTAAAGCTTCTCAAGAATGTGAACGACTAATTATAACAATTAATTATAAGCGTTAAGTTGACTAGATTTAACACGCTGGCTTAGTTTCTCAAAGCGTAGTGGAGTAATATTGCTATCTGGCTGTCATATAATATTCATAGTCCGATAGAAAATCGTGAACCGTAAAAACAAAGACATGAAAATTTGTTTTTAGCACAAGCATGCAGTTATGAAGCCATGACTATAAGCGAGATGAAATTGCATTAACCTGGCAACAATTCAGATAATTTGTTACCTTAACTTATTTTGTAATTAATGGCAGGCACGGCAAGGCAAAATTTGATGTACGGCAAAAGTTAGCTGACTTAGGCACGGCATGTTTATTCTAAATATTGTGGGACATTTAACTTATCTATCGAATTCAAATGCGAGGAAATACTTTTGAAAACTGCGCATTTTAGTTATCTATGCTTTGTCCAGATTTACACCTCATTTAGGCTATATACACACGGCACTAGACACATTTTGCCCGGATAAAGTGTATCTTGCATGACCAAATTAAAGCAAAACATTTAGCGAACTCAGTCTACGTTGCAAACTTCGAGAACATTAGTTTCACAAGTGTCTAGTTATTTGTTTATCAAGTCAAAATCTCGAAGGTTTTGAACGTTTAACGATTTGCACAAGATCGAAACTGGGTCGCGCAGTTCCTGGTCCACTATAGTACGATCGTACTTGTTATTTGTGACAAAAAGTTACGTTTCAAAATTTGGCGCGTAGCCTACTATTAGTAAATCGGCACAAAGTTTATCAACGTTTGCAAACAACAAATCTAATGGCATAGTTTAGAAACCGATAAAAGTGAAAACATACAAACGTTGACGACTGACTACTTTGATATGAAAATATGTTTGTGCCGTGAATACCCAACTTCAAAGTATACATTTTATTTGTTTGTTGACACTTGACACTTGACCAGTGTTTTTGTAATTTAAAAGCAAACAGAAGTATAAAATAGAAGTTAGCGGGCGCTTCGAACTATGTATCGTAACATCCAACTCCTGGTATTTGAAATTTAACGTTTTCTGTGGAAGCATGTAATTTGATACTTTGCCACTCCTTTTTTGCGCAATTAATTTTTGTAAAGTCACTTGACCAGCCGATACCAGGGTCCTTCCACAGGGGCGCTGCGCTACAGGTGGTGGCGGGGGAAGGGTGTGTGTGTGTGTGTGGGGGGGGGGGTGCAACACCACCCCACACTGGTCAGTAGATCGGCAAATTGTTATCTCAGTCGGCAAAACTGGATTGGCTAAAGGTAACCACTGAAGAAACCAAAATTGACTTCCTGAATAATTGAATTCATGCAAACGGAATATCACGAATAGCATGCATCAAAGAAACCACACATGCAGCAACGCAAATTCTTTCGAACACAGTATCTTCACTTCTTCCAGTCGAACCTCGTACCCAGGCTCTTTCCACTACGCGCCTCGCTGGAGGAAAGAACCTGGTCCAGGCTGGTTACGTGTCTCCTAGATTTTGGGAGATAACAAAATTTACATAAGGGTGGGGCTAAATTTGTGTTGCCGATCTAGTTGCCGATATTAATTCGATAAAGTTCAGAGAGTGTGCATTTTAACAAATACATGTAATTTTAACGAATAGCAAGAGCTTGTTTGCAAAATCAATAAGTGAGATGTCTTTGTATATGTATTCTTTGTGGATTATTGCACCTGCGACGTGGCTACGCAAGATCTGCATACTGGAGTCTTTCAGTTTCATATTGGGATAACCGCAAAGAATTACTAGGAAAGGATTTGTAATATACTCAAGGACAAGCAAAGAACATTTGCCTAGCAGCCAAAAGCGAGTCTATTGTAAATTGCCGTAAATTTTAATCAATTAGTGGAACGACTCGATAACACGACATATATATATATATATATATATATATATATATATATATATATATATATATATATATATATATATATATATATATATATATATATATTTTTTTTTTTATATGTATATATATATATAATTCAGTCAAGGTTTGAATGTTTGCGTCGCTACTCTGAGTTTCACGCTTTACGCGATCATCAGGCAACTGACAGATATTATTCAATATTCATAATAAATATAGGTTATCATTTTACAACTTGATTAAGCAGGTATCTGATTACATGTCTACATACAATAAAGTGGTCCATTATGAAGAAAGTCAAAGCATACAAACCAGGATCTAAACGGTGCAATTTATGCCTCGAGGAGAAACTACTTATTATGAAAGCGAAACTGAATGCCTGAACAAACGCTCTGACTTGTTTTCCAAATGTAGACATGTAACCAGATACCTGCTTAATCAAGTTGTAAGATGATAACCTATATTTATTATGAATATTGAATAATATCTGTCAGTTGCCTGATGATCGCGTAAAGCGTGAAACTCAGAGTAGCGACGCAAACATTCAAACCTTGACTGAATTATATATATATATATATATATATATATATATATATATATATATATATATATATATATATATATATATATATATATATATCATCCCATGAGTACTGTCTTATTGAAATACGACGAATATTTCGAAATGTATTTTTAATTCTTCATGCACACATGTTTTTAATAGAGAGCTTGGCGAGTAGGCGTTCATACGCTAAAAGACAAACGATGGGCAAAAGAAGAAATAAGCTATATAATGCAATAGAGAGTAAATAAACTTGCTATTTTAAAACTGTATGTATAATGATTCTTTTGATATAAGAAAGAAAATATGAAGCGAAGACATTGATAATATATTTCACTGGGGAAACAATCGACTGCAAATAAATACGCAAACAATCGACTGCAAATAAATACGCTCCTATAAATACCCAAAACTGATATAGGATTTATTAGAGAGAATATCGAGCTAAATACTCTGTATATTAACGTACTTATTTATTTTTATTCTTCATTGAACATGTTCAGTTCAACAAAATTAGAAAATCGACCACAAAGTAGGCCTACTTTACGCGAATATAAACAGCGGTTATTTTATAATCGCTGACAAATATCAATTAAAATCGAATCACGATTCTGGTTAAACCAGGCAAATGTTCTGACGAATATAACACTCAACCGCAATTTTCTGAGGATTCTGCCTATTCTTGTGGATATGTATAGAACTAAACCCGAGACTGTGTCGTTGAGTGAGCTTCGAACGGAGCCAAAAATAAATATTATGAACAATCACCTTTACTTTAAAATAATTTGGCTCCACAGGATTTTTTAAAAATTGTCAAAATAATTGACTATACTAAGAGAAATCATTTTTTTAAATGAAATTTGGGGGTCACCGATCTCGTTTATACGAGTTAAATTACTTTAAAACCAAAATATCCGCCATCTTGAAATGTCATTGTTGCCATAGCAACTGCAGTTGCGTAAATTTTGTGCAAAAATTCAAACTCTTTAAGCCTGGCGCACACGATGCGATTTTAGTCGGCCGATAAAAATCGTTTGACTAAAACTTTGTGTGCGCTGTAACCTATTTTTGTTGCTCGATTTTAATCGGACAACATCAAAACGTTTTGATTTTATCGGTGGAATTTTAAGTATAACCAATCAGATTTCATGCTGTGAACACGTGCTTGTATTTATTTGGCAACATGGCGACTACAGTTCAGGGAGCGTATTTTTTTCTTAATCGTGTGCGTAGTATACCGATTTATATCGGTATGTCAAACGATTTTTATCGGCCGACTATAAATCGCATGGTGTGCGCCAGGCTTTAGATGTTGTTTTATATAGTTAAGCTACCTTTTGTTTATCAATAAAGGAATACCGAATGGTTTCCGTGTAGGATTGCGTGATCCATGCACGCGGGATGTTGCGAGACTTTCGGAAAGCGTGAAAATCGGCGAGTGTATGTTTATACCGCGCTTTCCGAAAGTCGAGCAACATCCCAAGTGCATGGATCATGCTATCCTGCACGGGAAAACCATTTGGTAATTGTTTTATAAAATTACTACAGTGAAACGACGGTTAACCTGATTCAAATTACTGATGAAATGTGCAGTTCTCACAACAATCGTGAATTAACCAATCGGAGAATCGCTATTCCACGCTATTGAAAACAACAACAAATGTGAACAGAATTTGATCACAAATTCGCAAAAATATACAGCGAAAATACACAGACTTTTACGATAAGATATACGAAATTTGGAATGGAAAACCCGCTAAACAGAGAGCCAAAGTAGTTTTGAAGATTCTCGACCTGAATACTTGAAGATTGCGATGTGTATGAACTTTGAAGCGAGAGATGTTGTACTTGCCATTGTCTGATGAATGTCTACTTGCTGAACAGCAATGTATCGATCAGAAATTTATTCATACAACTAAACCAACGACTCAATAATTGCAAATTTACTTCAAAGTCGAAAGGTATGGTACAATGAAACTTTACAATGCGAGTAAATTTGTAAAATTATATGCATGAATTTCTGTTCAGAATTTCCCTTGCAGGATTGTCTGAAACATTGCGTGTTTCACTGTAGTTATTATATAATAACTAATAATTGTCCAAAAATATGCATCTAAGTCGCGAATTTTCCAATTTTTTAAAAACTGTAATGAGCCGCCTTTACGCCTTAATTGATGGAATAGATCTTTTTATTTCTATTTCTTTATCTTCCCAACTGCATGAGTTTATAACAATCAACGTTTAAAATTAGCATATTTATTCAATTTGCTAGGAGGACCTCATAGGATCGTTGTATTATTGCATGTAAATTTTAATTGAAGTATAATAGCAAATTCGACAGCTCAAGATATATCCATTAATATATACGTACAACTTTGCATTTAGATATATCTATTAATTAGTTATTATTATTAATTACAATCACATATTGATCAATGCCCAATTAAAAAGTTCGAAATTTGCATTTAAGAAAACATTATGTCTTTCTAACCACCAGTGGCGTGCTGGCAGGGAGGGGCCGGGGGGCCACGGCCCCCCCAGCTGGCAATTTTTTTGGGGCGCAAAAATGAAAAGGGGGCGCCGATCCCGCGCCGAATTTTGAAAGTAGGTGGGAAGAAACGCATTCGAAAAAATATAGTTGCTAATTCCGCCAAGGAAAGATGTGTTTATTGACTTATAAACAGACTAAGCGCATAGGCGACAAAGTGAGTATATTAAATTGCAGACTATTTTGTCTAACCGTATTTGCTACCTCACGACTCACACGAAATCACTCGTTCATATAGAAACATGATCAGTGATCACACGCAATGTCTCATTACCGGAATATTGATCAGGCTTCGAAGCGATCACGGGAATTATGCCCTTTTTTGCTGGTATTATACCCTTATATTATGCCCTTTATTATGCTTCACGAATCACGAGAGCGGCGCAAATTAGATAGTTGAAGTTATTACAATGTAAAGTTGTGTATGCAATTTAGTTGTTTGCGCAAGAAACATTATGAGTAATGTAAGTAATCAGATAATGATGAAACACGCCCTTTTGGCAGCCAGGCAAGGAAACCTTAAAATGCATATGCGTGGGTTCCGTGTGTTATTGTATAAAAGAGCTGTAAGTTGTAAATGTATTCAGATCAGTAGAGAATAAAATTGGGATTAGATTAATTTCTGGAATTAAGTGCTGCTACTAATTTCTAACCAATTTTCAAATTTCGACACGTTGTAATGCCCTTTCCTGACCATCAGATTTCTGTCAAATCTTCCCCCAAAGTCCAGGAAATGACATTTCAGAGACTCTAGATTCAAAAATTTGCCTGGGCGGGCATGCCCCCGGACAGCCCTAGAACAACCCCGCACCTGCGGCGCTCGGCTCGTGTCTTCGACCCTCGTTTATCAAGGGTAATATTATAGGGGCGCATATTAGTTGCCAGACGACTGGCCCCCCCAGAAAAATAGTACCCAGCACGCCACTGAGACTACTATTTAATTCAATACAAAGGAAGGGAATCAGAGAGCAACGAAACATTTCATCGTCATTTGATTGACATGTTTACGCTCAGCGAGTACATTTCTTTCGGTTAGGAGTTTTCCCCGAGATTAATTCGTACATTCTATAATATAAAACGAAACTTTATATAACAGTTTAAGGTAAACAAACCAATGAAAATTATGTCTGTAGTATGACTAATTCTGAATTTTCTAATTTCTTTGAGACATTATATTTACAGGAGGTAAACAAAGCGAATAGAGCGAAGTTCGTATGTCACAATCAGGACTCATGGCATTGAGGCGCGCAGAATTCGAACACACTGGACACACTGGTATTGAATGACTATCCTTGAAGCCAAACTGTACAGTCAAACAATTTCATTCGAGTGCAAAACCAAAGAATAATGATGAAAGACATATATTTACATAATCAAGCTTCATTCAGTGTAGTGTAAGGTGGTTTTATTTGTTAATATCAAGAATTATGTTTACCGATAAAGTATGCTCGATTTCGACACATTTTCAAATTTTACAAAGTTTGCGCGCTTGTCATTTTTGTCAAATGGTAGAACAGAAAGATATTATTGGCGATTTGTGTTGACTAATGTTAGTAGTTTATAGAAAAGTTAAAGTCATGTGCCAATCAAGTGCCACGATTTTGAAATAAGCTTTCGAATTTGACATATTTTGAGACGATATCCTTTACCGTTCAGGAGGGTCAATAACTGCGCTGTTTTCTATTTTATACCAAAGAATAATTAACTAAGTCATATCACCCGCGAAAATAGAAGGATAAGTCTATATTTCTGAGCAAAAATTTTAAAATTTAGGTATGAATTTGATTTAAAAAATAGCGCTGAAAATATGTCGATACTGGCCTTCATTCGGAGTATCAAGTTGGTTACCAGTCGATCGAACATCAATCGCCCCCCAAAATAATTTAAAGGAAATTTGAGTAAAATGACATCGATTTTAGTTGTTCCCAAGGATAGATCTTCAAAATACTAGAGTATGAAAGAAATCTATTTTTGAGCCCCATACTGACCTGGAGGTTTTTACGGAGACAGCCTCTTATATATCTGATCACAACATTTAGTTGTATTTCATGCATATATGACATAGTTGTATTTGTGGCAACTGTCCTGTTTATAGGTTCAATAAAAATGTATTAATTAACCCCTTTAAATGGCATAATGCACCCTGATGCGCCCTACTTTGGTATTGTAGTCTAATGCGAGACGATTTTACTCGTCAAGTGGAGAGTGCTGCCACTCAATGGGTTAAAACAATCTGCCCACCATCCTCTCAACCTTTAAGAAGTGGCAATGCACACTGATACGCCCTACTTTAGTATTTTAATCTGTCTAATGCCAGACAATTTTATTCGTCTGAGAGTGCTGCCACTCATTGGGTTAAAACAATCTGCCCATCATCCTCTCAACCTTTAGGAAGTGGCAATGTACACTGATAGCCCTACTTTAGTATTTTAATCTGTCTAATGCCAGACAATTTTACTCGTCTGAGAGTGCTGCCACTCAATGGGTTAAAACAATCTGCCCATCATCCTCTCAACCTTTAAGAAGTGGCAATGCACACTGATACGCCCTACTTTAGTATTTTAATCTGTCTAATGCCAGACAATTTTACTCGTCTGAGAGTGCTGCCACTCAACAGGGTTAAAACAATCTGCCCATCATCCTCTCAACCTTTAAGAAGTGGCAATGCACACTGATACGCCCTACTTTAGTATTTTAATATAGGGCCCTGAAGAGGTAAAATGGGAACTGGGATTGATCTATTTTTAGACTGGGAAAATGGGATCTGGGTTGCTGGGACTGGGATTTGGCCACTGGGAATGGGAAATGAAGTCCTCAAAAATGGGAATGGGATTGAGGTAATGCGAGTCGATTCCCAATTTTTCTACATTTTAAGTGTTTTAAAATATAATTTTGATCCGTTTTCGGTGTCTTTGGTCATGATTTTTGTTGTTAGCTATATTATTCACAGCACTACCTGCGAACAGGCATACTCTGGCGCCCGGAATTCTGGGTTTTCTGATTATGCGTGTCTCAGAATGCTGCAAATGCCATTTCCGGGATTCATATTTTAAAATTTTCTGTGCCTTCGGCACGAGCCCCCCCCCCACCACCCCCTCCCCATGTTTCATAAAGTGTCCACCACTTGCACACACGGTGGCTTAAAACGTCTTAAAACTGTTTATTCTACCGATGAATAAAGGGTTTTTTATTGACTGGGATTTCAATAACTCGGACTGGGATTTCTAATAAAAATCCAACTGGGACTGGGATTTTGCCAAAATTTCAGGTGGGAAATGGGATTGGGACCACCCCTTCAGGACCTTCACTCAATGGGTTAAATTCCACTCAAAATTTCCATCTACAAATTCCTTCCAAATATATTTACCCTTTTGTTTGTTTAGGCTGTACTTTTGTTGGCTTTATTTACCACTACCTTGGCCCGCAGTCCTCTCTACAACCTTTTCAGGCGTGACGTCAAGGGTAGTGCTGAAGGTAAAAGAGACGGTATATTATCCTTACTGATTTATAGACTTTTAATATACTTGTTCTTTAATGTTGTTAGAGATTATAAGAATTCTTGCTAAACTCTTCTTTTTATATTTCTTTTTATAGGTAACGACAAGTAAGTAGTTGATTTTTTTAAATATGATATGCCTGTGAACCGTTGAACTATTGAATGTGTTAGGCTAGTATATACAGGGCCATTGCTCGACATTTTTGTCATGTGATTCTTTATATGCTGAGATGCAAACGAATTATAAGTTATTATATATAAGAGGCGATGCATGAAAACCATTCAAAGCCCAAATATGTTTGGCGTATTTTGTCTTAGCATTATCTTCTATTTCATACAGTTATAGTTACCTTTTCAAATGTATCTGCCGGCTCAAAAACATGGAACAATACAAAAAAGTTAATGTGCTATAATATTATATTGATGCCAGATTTATACAGCAATATAAGCAAAACTTGCTGAACTTCAATCAGGTGCAACTTCCCCTCCCCTCCCCCACCCCAGAAAATTTACCTATTATACTACCATAAATTTTGTAGACAATATTATATAAATTATTTTGTGTTCTTTCGTTTTAATTAAAGGGGTGTCAAAAAGATTGAGAAGGAAATTGACGAAGAAATTGAAATTGGTGAAGAACTGGCAAAGGACATTGGAAGAGAGGTTAGTATTCGATACTGCATGTCGCCTTCACCAAACCGACACCAAGATAGTGACGATACCTCAACACGTGCATATACTACTGACTTTATACAGCGTGTATAAAAAAGTGCATGCACAGTTCTAAAATGCCCACTAAACTATTTCGCAGAATTTGTGACAACTGAAAGGTATAAATTTCGAATGACTTGCGCACAAAAATGGAAGGTTAGAGACGAAATTTAAATTAACATGCAGGATACAAATTTGCAAGGTGTTTTATGAACTATCGAAATTTGCACCCATTGAATTCAAATTGCGTTTTAAATTTTCCGTTTTTGTGCCAAGCTATGACTCTGAAAAACAGCCTTGCCGCTCGCAAAATTTTGTTTTTAGATTTTTTAGAACAATTGGTGACAGAGATACCAGAAGGAACCCAAACTATCCATGCTACTAATAATAAAGTTGTCAAAATTTTGCGGAATTTTTAGTTTTAATAAATTAGTTTAATTAAAACTGTTTTATACACCCATATGTATACAGTAAAATCTTCATAAGAACCACTACGCTGAAATACAGACAACTAAAAATTAAAGTACTTAATGTATCATTCATAAATTATACAATGAATTAATTACCCATCAGTTTACTCTGCTTGGCAAAGCAACTGCAAACGTTTGAAAAACAAGTTTCTCACCCAATTGTTGTCTAAAATATAACCAAAATTTAATCAATTTGCTTTTGAGCAATGTCGCATAAATTTTCGTAAAATATGTTTTACTATTTAACGTTTTAGGAGAACAAAAAAGGGGACGGTGACATAGCAGTTTGTGCTCTTGGTAAGAATTAATTATTACGATTGTGACAAGTGACACAATGCATGTATAATCAGGGACGTAGCGACCGGGGGAGGTGGGGGCTGCAAACTCCACCCGACTGTGAAACTCATGCAAAAATCAGGTAAAATTCAAGTTAAAATTTTGACATTTTTAGGTAAAATTTGCGTAATAACTTTACATCCAATGCGACAGCGAATTTTTAGAAATTCAAAAATGTAAAATTTTCTGGGGTAGGAGCAAGTGAATTTTTAACATTGAAGTTATAATTTCAGGTAAAATGTTTATCTTCCGACACCCCAATTTCAGATGCTACGCTACGTTCCTGCTTGTATGTTAAATCAGTTTGCATATTATCAACCTCAATATTTAAGACGTATTGCCTTATTCCGCCTGATCCCGACCTAACCTTTATATCATAACCAAAGCTATTCCCAACACTGATCCAACCCAGTCCCAAACTGACTTCCCAAACATTTGTTCCATAATACACTTCAATAATTACAGCGGCTATATTACAGCAATAAAATACTTCATGAAAATCGTAACTTTAATCTAATTATACCTTAGAACTCTTGAAGGACGTTGGTAATTTCTTCGAAGGAAAAGGTTGGTTTTCATCCTTATGAATTTCACTGACTTTTCTCGGTTGTAAATTTTCCTTAGTCGCATGCGAGGAACGCAGCCCAATTTGATTCTACCACGAACCATGGCCAGAAATCACGGACATGATTATTCTACTTCCTTACAAACTTTGCATATCATTAATATACATAACCCGTTGAAATATGGCTTCGATAGTAAACAGTAAATTATATTACGCGATGCTTTAAATCGCAAAATCAGAGAATATTGGTAGTCGTTTGCAATTTGCCTCGATTGCTGGTTGCAGAACACGGTCTGTTGAAATATATCGTGTAGTGTTTGCCTGGTGTAAGTTACTGCCTATTCTGCATTTTCGTTTGTTTCTAGTGGCTACAGTGAGGTATTCTTATATAGAGTTAAATAGACAAATTCCGTACAAACTATAACCTCTGTACAAATACTGAAAATGCAGAATGGTCTCTAACTAAAATCAAGTCAACATTACGCTAAATACTTCGACAGTCTTTGATTTATAGCCAGCGACTGAGGCAAGTTGCAAACGACCTACCATATTCTCTGATCTTGGGATTTACCAAGGTTGGGTAGTAGCGAAGTAGTGATAGTTCGCTACTGTAGCGAACTACAATTTTCAAGTAGCCAGTAGTTTCTGACTACTTTTTTAAAACAGTAGCTGTAGTTATAGCGAACTACATTTTGCGTATAGTAGCCAAGTAGCTGACTACTTTTCGAACAGCGAATCGCTATTCGCTACTTTTTAAAATTGTTAGCAACTTGATAGAATAGCATGATATTGAGACACGGTTTGTTTAAAATCAATACTCAATACTCAATTTTCACGCCTGAACACTGTAGTGCTTTCAGAAATGTTGCTTTGTGTTTACTGTTGCCACTCGTATAAGTGGATTTGTTTTTGGTTACATTTCAGCCTGAGTTAGTAGATGCTCCAAATACAGTAAAACTAAAATATATAGCGTAGCGAAATAGCGAAATAGTTCGCTACATATTTTAAGCAGTAGCCTGTAGTCAGTAGCGAACACCCTTTGTTCAAAAGTAGCAGTAGTTGTAGCTGGCTACATATTTTTGAAGTAGCTGCAGTTATAGCGAACTACAAAAAAATTGTAGTCAACCCATGGAACCTTGGGATTTACAGCATCGCGTAATATAATTTACTGTTTACTGCAGAAGCCATATTTCAACGTGATATGCAATTTAGTAACATTAAATTCATCGAACCAATAACGGATGACCTTTTTGGACTGCTAGGGAAAACTGTTTGCAAATGAATTAGTTAAGTTTCCAGCTCCTGTAGTAACAAATGAAATAATAAAGGGATGTCGATCCTTACATGCATGACCTCTGTATCGGACCATATTGATAAAGTTGATTCAATTCCTTGAATAGCAACATCGATTAACAAGGAGGGCTTTTAGTACTGAACTTCTTGAGAAAACACTTTAGCCTGAATTGGGAGGGAGTTTCGCATTGACAAAGCGATGTTGTGACCTCTTTTCTCCAAGTTCAATGTTGTGAAAAATGTCGAAACAACTTTGCCAATTTACCAGGACACCAGCTCAACATTGAATTGTGGGAATGGGGGCATAAAAAGCGCAGCTCAGCAACATGAATACATGATTTTATATGGAATTATTCATAAGGGGTATGCAAATTTTGTGTGGAGAGGAATTAGATAGTCTCAACCAGTTATGTCAAATAATGAAGAATAAGAGTTAGTAACTAATTTAAGAGGAAGAACTGACATTACTTAAAGACGTTTACCCCGTTGACTGAAGCTGAATTTCACACAAGGTGTGGCCTGCGTGTCGTGCTTTATGCTTGAAACAGAGCCTGTACTGAAGCCAACAAGGAGTGGCTTTATGCATAGGCTGTGTACTAATCATACGCAAAATGTCCACTGGTCAGAAATGAATAGCCTTGCCTTTTAAACTAAAAGCAAAGTTCAAACTTTTGAATGATAGTTTTTAAGGTGCATTTCTGCCTTTTTAATTGAAAAAACTAAATAGGAAAATCAATTAAGCATAATTCAAGATCAGCAAACTTAATGTTTTTAAACATTTTAAAACATTTTTATTGTTAAAAACATTGCGTTTACTGATCTTGAATTATGCATAATTGATTTTCCTAGTTAGTCTCATGCAATTATGTGAACTGAGATTGTAGAATAAGAACATGTCTTGCACTGCATGGACTTGATATTATCCACATGAGATAACATACGATACCATATGATATAAAGATAACCATTAAATTTCTTAAAGGTGGTAAAGGTGGTAAAGATGATGACGACGATGATGATGATGACACAAAAGGTGATGGCGAGATCTTGGCAGAACTTGGTGAAACATTAGCCAAGAGGATGTTCAGAATCAAACGCCGTGCGCAAGGAGACACCTTACCTAGTGTTTCTCCATCTAGCGGTCCTTCTCACAGTCCTTCGCGCCGTCCGTCCAGCGGTGCAACAGGCGGTCCGTCTTGGGGCCCATCAGGTAAACTTGTATATGTTTTGGCTTGTAGAAACGCCATGCGCATATAGATTTATTATTGCAAAGATTTCCTGCTTTTCCCTCTCACGAACCTTCCTCCTTCGCGCCGTCCGTCCAGCGGTGCAACAGGCGGTCCGTCTTGGGGCCCATCAGGTAAACTTGTATATGTTTTGGCTTTGTAGAAACGCCATGCGCATATAGATTTATTATTGCAAAGATTTCCTGCTTTTCCCTCTCACGAACCTCGGAAACACGCCGGTATATCTATTTTTTCAAAACTTTCAACCCAAGGTAAACTTATATAAGCTATTAAACAATTTTTAAAAAATGGCCAAGAAATAAAGGGAAACGCTAGTTGTATTAAAAACATTAAAAAAGAAATATATTGTGTTTGGAAGAATTCCCCCCCGGTCAAGCAATTTCATGAACGTCTGGCAAATTTATGCCCCCCCCCCTTAAATTTTCTTCCCCCACGCTTATGTTAGTTTCCTTTCAAATACTCATACAGTATATTTTTTTTATTTCTTTCACTCAAACAGCAGGACCAGGGAAGGTAAGACACTATTCTTTTATCTTCAGAATCAAATAATTAATTTGGTAAATTTGCTCATATACTTGAGTAAGGTACAGGACATTATTTATGGCAGGGGGTGGCACCGAAGAGAAATGTTTTACTTGGTAAAATTTTACTGATCCAACCATTCAAGAGTACAATATTTTTCTACCCAACTCAAATATCAATTAAAATATAATAATTTTAAAAAGCTTTAAAATGGATACCATTCAGTTGTCACACATGTCCTTTACCACTTCTGTGACATGGGTTTGATAATGGCTTGTGGAATTTTCTGCAGTCTAAAGTTTCATGTTGTCTGCACATGTACTTTCTTTGGAGACACCATTTACCTCCCGACAAATTGGAAAATAATCAAGATAGTGACAACGACTGATTTACATATTGTTTTGACATGTAATATTTTCAGTGAATCATGCTTTGAAAATGACAATAAATTTTTATTACCCAACCATTGAGTCGTTTTGCCATTTATTTACCCAACCTTTTACTCATCCAACACTTTCAGCCACCACACATCATAAATAACGACCACACCCTAATTTCATTCAAACTTTTGAGTCACTGTTGGTGTATTATTTTAGAGACGTTATTGAGTCAAAATACTCAGAGGTGTTTCGTAGTGAAAACTAGACTATTTAATTTTTTTTTAAAAATTTTTGAAGGAATTATTAATGAGTTTTTAAGAACAAAATAAACTGAATAATCAATTAAATAGCGCCCTGTTATTCATTCGTTAACAATATTTTTTTGTTTCTTTTCTAAAGTGTGATGGAGCTTTGGAAAGATTCTTCAGGTGCATGGGAAGTAAGTCGCTTTAAAAGAATTACTGTAAATTGAAGTTTTGACTGGAAGGATCCAAAAAAATCTTGCCTTTGTTTCCTTAAGAAGCGAAAATTCTGCTACCCAATATACAACAATATCAACAACTTAGGCAACAAACGAGTAAAAGTGTCTGGATTCGTTTGTGACTTAGTAGAGTTGTTATCTGTTATCTGTTAAATGGTTATTTAAAATCACCAAAAGACTCTTTTTAATGACTCAGATTAATTTATTTTCTTTACAGAAAGTATGGGTGAACGGGAGGAGAACAAAGGCAAGGGTAATGGCGAGGGTGAAGGCGAGGGTGAAGGTGAAGGCGAGGGTGAAGGTGGAGAAACTAGTGGTGAATCTGGAGAAACAGTCGAACCAGCCAAACGTCGCGTCCACAAGAGAAAATTCCACAAATCTGTCGCCTAAAGAATTCTCTCATTAACTTTTTAATCCTATGTTTTAAACGTAGACCGACTCAATTAACTGTGTCATACATACATTCGATATTTTTGTATAATTTCATTCCTTAGAAGACGTGATATCAGACTGGTTTCTGTATCGAGATAACATTAAAATACTCTTAAATTGATGTTGTTCTGCATTGTTTTTATTCCTTTTTTGTCAGCTCAACTCAACTTTCTGCATTGTTTGATCAAACGAGAACAAGAGTTGCACGAGTGTTGGCTAGCAAAATCGAGTTTAGATGAGACTTTCCTCCACTTTTATTGCTTTATCAAACAAGAACAAGAGTTGTACGAGAGTTGACAAGCGAGAGTTTACATGATATGAGAGGTTCTTCAAATTTCATTGCTTGGTCGAGCGAGAACAAGAGTTGCATACGAGTTGACAACGAGAGTTTACATGAGAGTTTTCTCAACTATCATTTAGTCTTGATCAAACGAGAGCAAAAGTTGCACATGAGTTGACATTCGAGAGTTTACATGAGGGTTTTCTCAGCTTTCATTGTTTAATCAAACGAGAACAATAGTTGCATGCATATGAGTTGGCAAGAGAGTTTGGTCCATTTGTGAAAACTAAGCGTGCTGACTCGGATAGAATGTACTCTAAAAACACAGCTTTAAAAATAACTTGGTTAAGGTAATTCTGCAGTTTTGCATTGCGCACTTTTACTGCGCACATCTTATAACTTATAATTTCATCCATTATACGTACCGTTTAAAACAAAATATCATTTTATGACAATTTTATGTTACTTCGAAACACTTTGGTTACATTCGTTAAAATCAATGTTTTCAAAAAAGGCATACCAAAGTGTAGCTAGGGTTCCTGTGTCTGTAATACATTTATTTACTTGTATTTCACGTTTTAATGACACAATTCCCTAAAAAGATCGGTGACCCCCGTTTTTTAACTGATAATTAATTTCTTTAATGCATTTTACATTTCATATCCGAAATTAAAAGAAAAATCATTTCTGGATCTTGAGAAAAAATGCTTTATCAATGCATGTTCTCAAAGAAAGATATGTAAAGAAATGTGGAAAAGACATTTGTGGATCAGAATTGTACACGTTAGTAGTTTCATTTTGCTCAAAACACAACATTTTTTCAAAAATATTTATAATTACAAGTTAGGTTTACTAAAGCAAAATCCGCGCTAAAAAAGTCAGTAAATATCGGGCTGTTGTGGGTTTGCTGTTACTCGTAATGAGCGTCAAGATGGCGCCATATTGGGGTAAAGGTGGTATATTGTGATTATCATATCTTCTTAACGAGTTCGGTGACCCCGACTTTTTTGTGTGATTTTACTTTAAGTATATCATAAACTCCATGCCTGGGAAGTTTCAGCACATTCTCGGCATTTCGGGAACAATTACTGCGGAATTACCTTAACTTAGAATTTTGACGTTTCGAGCAAAAAGGCCCTTCGTCTGGAGTTACTGTAACCAGGAAGTTTAACCAGGAATTAAGAATTAACCTAAATATAGCCATGCATAGGTTATTCTTAGTAGTTAACTAGGAAAATTTTCATCACATTTTTTTAGAGTGTGTTAGTTATAATCAATGGACTAGATGTAAACTGGAATGCTAACTCATATGATAAAGGCGTATGATTGCATGGTTGAAGCCGACGCGCGAGAAAATCAGCTTTCATAAGGTCTAAGGAGAGTTTCGAAGAGTGAGAAAAATTCAGTTAAAAGTTTGTTTTTGGGCAAAATTTTGCAAGAAAAACACTTTTTCTATCGTCCAATTAGTCCCGACTGTTTTACATCTATATCTGCAGTAAAAAGTGAGGAGTTTTGTACACTTTTGTATTTTGAGAAAACAACGAAAGTTTGGACGTGCTGAAGGAAACTTAAAAACAGTCCCAAAACTTATTTTGCACTAAAGATATTGTTATTTATCCTGAGCTTTTAGTCCTTGTTTTATTCCTTTTAGAACGTGAATAAACTAAGGTTTTTAAGGGGAGGAGGGGGGAGGGGGCGTTATTTTGGGCATCGCATTTTCTTGTTGGCCATTATGAGCAGTTTGAATATGGCAGCCAAGCTAGCTTTGATAATTCCTTTTCAACTGTTAAAAATAAGTTTTGGGCATCAAATATTCAAATGCATCTAATATTTTCTACACGGAAATTTGTATTATAATATTTCCAAACTCGCGCGGTTTTTTGGCAAATTTTGTTTTGGTCCTGCCATATTTCAGTGGTTGAACCTTTTTGTTTTGAATGCAAAGTTGACTGTTTTAGTATCATGCTCTAAGATGAAAAAGGAAAGAGTAAAATTAATTTAAAGGGGTCAAATTTATCGATATAAAAAGTGTCAAGTTTATTTTTCAACAAAAATTTGCAAAAAGGGACTGGCACTACCTACAAAGCACACGGCTATAATCTTTTGAATTATTTCGAGATTTAGTTGCTTCATTGGCAAAAATTTGAAGTAAAGAAAAGCCTGAAGACCCTGAAACAAAATTACACGGCTCAAGCATCATTAAAATCACTTCATTAAACCCACAATGTGAGGCATTTTTTTATAAATAAACCAAAGTAAAGCGAAGCAAAAAGCGCGCGAAAATTCTTGACTGAGCCCACAATGTTATGTAATGGATGGTCAGCGACATGGCCATTTATCTGTGCAATTTCCGGTCGCGACCAACTAAAAAGCACTGTTACACTTGCAGAATTGTAGTGTTACCCCCTACATAGAATATTTTACAGTTATAATTATTGTTTTGGATTAATCTAGAAATGTGAGTTTGGTTGGGGATATATATCAATACAATTATCAACAACTTTTTTGTTTTGAGCGAATGCTTAGTTTCCTGTAAAATATTTTTCAGTTATAGTTTTGTAGATCCTTCATCCAAAGACAATACATGTTTCAAACAGCGAGCTGTATTAATTTAAACTAACCTATTTTAGCAGTCTCTTGTTAGGCTAATTTGTCTCTAATTTCAGTGCTTTGAAATGGCAATGGACTTTACCTTTTATTAATATCAAGATTTTGGGGCATCTCGCTTGACAGAACTAACATGCAGTTAAAGGGTTTATATAGATGAGAAATTTGGGCGGAAATTATACAATTGTATATTGTATATGCAATAATGTTTCGCTTGAAATTTTCATTTGTAGAAACCTTCAACTTTGCTGTTTATAGTTGCCACTTTCGCCCAAATCACTAAATGGCATGGTTTCCATGTTCGCCTGTTTTAGCATTGCAGGCACACATGAAGGTTATCTTTCCAATGTTTCGTGCATGAATATACGCATCTCTTTGACCTTGAGCCCAATCACAAATCTTCCCTTCACTTTAGCACGAAACATCCAGGAATTAACGACGTAAATTCGAGGCCATTTGGGTTAGAATGCAATACAGTACAGTCTATTATAAAGCAATTTCAATTATTATATCGTCCGAGTTATTTATTTAGAACAACATGATGCACAAATTGAATTAGATTAGTAGCTTAAAAACAAATACAGTCTGCATATCTCAGTTCAATAATAATAATAATAATATCAGCTAATTCACCCATGACATGAACACCTGCCCGACAATATAATCATGCAGCTCACATTGGGTGCAGTTTTGACATAAACACTGTCCGTATCGTGCGGTGCTTTTGACTTCGGCCAACAATGCTTTGATGTGCCAGTTAATTTCATCTAGCCTTGATAAAACATTACCGCGGTGCTGTTGTGCAACACAGAAAAGTGAGTCAGCATTATCCTTGCAAGAATAGCGTTCGAGAACGTCGAATGTTTCAAGTCAAGAAGTCTCCCACGGGGAGAAAAAAATCAGAAACAAACTTGGAATTTAGAAAATTAAGGCTAAGCAATATTTCAAACAAAAACAAGTGAGACAGCATTGTTCTTGCATGATGGTTTATGTAGAATCTAGAACACAATTTTTGGCACGAAATTCCTCCACCGAGAATGCTGTAGGAATCTTGAAAATTAAGATGAAAAATATGCAACCTGCAAGTATATAAATATTGAAGACCAGAAGCTCTCCTATCGAGAAAAATATGAAAACAGACTTTGTGCTTAGTTAGAAATTTGGAAAATTATACGGCGAAGTATACACGATATTAGATCTGTTATTGCCGAGTTACTACAAAAATGTTGCAACTTCAACACTGGACAACTTTTATACCAAAAACTGTCGCATGCAACCTGCTTACAACTTGAGTTGTATACTGTGTGAATCAAGCACACAACGCAACCTATACAACAAAGTAGGCGAGTCAGTGCGTGCTTGATTTACACAACACAACTTGATTTACACCTACAACAACGTAGGCGAGTTGTGTGCTTGATTTACACGCGGTACATTCTACCTCAAGTTGTGCGGGTCATTTATAAGCTGCAGGTATATATACGGTTGCATGCGACAGTTCAGTTTAGGCAAAAGTTGTGCAGTGTAAGGTTATATCAACACTGCACCGGATTGCTTTCCGTACCGACCATAGATATCTTATATACACTAGATAACGCGTCTCTTTGGGTAAAATTGAAGCCAAGAATATTAGTCCAGCGGTCACCCCCATTTGAATAGATGGCGGCCATGTTGGTCGTTCCCATGCACTCGCTAATAAACGCTTAAAAACAACAATAACTTTCATCATTTGAATACTTTAAAAATGTATTTGGAATAGGTTTAACTTAATGTTTAAGTTCCCTGTTTAAGAAATAGGAAATATACGAATTTTCTCCCATTTCATGCAGGGAACGACCTGAGACTGCAATCACGGCTTCAATTTTTGAATTGTATATAAATTCAATTTGAATTTTTGTATATAAGATATCTATGGCACCGACATGAAAAATGACCTATCGGCCGTATACCTAGTTTAGGAACGCTATTTTCCAGTGGAATTATTGGAACGGAGAGATGTTGCGGTTTCGCTCAGCTATAGCTTCTGAAAGTTATACATTCGATCCGTATATCAGTGGATACTATATAAGCGCTTTTTCGCGCCGCTACGAAAAGCTATCCGGCACAGCGGTGTAAACGTATACAGTATATTATAGCCTAAATCTGCCTTTATGATTCTGAGTTTTACAATACGTGTAGAACATGCAATATTTCAGGCCAAAAATTCTCTCCAACGAGAAAAGTAAGAAATCAGAATGTGCTTCCGGCAAACCAGGCTGTGACCAAACTGCGCCGTCACAACGCATCCTATATGCCATCTAGAACGCATCCAAAAATTCAAAACGAGTAAGGAATCGACAAAATTAAAACTTCTGAAACAATTTGCGTCAATAAAATTAGCATTTTACGAAATAAATAGAAATATCGCGTTCCCGCTAAAAATTGCGCGGGAATTTCTGTGGCGCTTGTCGGGCTAGCGCGCCTCGTGTGAAACAAACAACAACTTGGCCCGGCAAAACAAGCCAGCCGAGTTTACCGGGCCAGCCCGGCCGATAGGAACAGTGGCTACTCAGCGTCAGACACAATTACCTATACGAGCAAACCATTTAATGACCGATTCATATAAATTATCACAAATAATCACGACAACAATTACACACTATACAACGGTCAATATTTTAAATTTGTAGGAAATCCGGACTGGTAATTGAACTAGGATGAAAAATTTTTATATTTCATTAAAATTGATTAAGGCCATAATTAAAGTTATAACTAAACTACTCATAAGCTTGAAATTCCATTGTCATGCCTGTGCTCATTTGGGAGTTTCTGTATTTAATTTTAGTGCATGCTGTCGAAGACTCCCGCTGAAATTTGAATGTTGACTGTGAAAATACTGATACAAGCGCTACAAGGGGTTTGATGGTACAATTGCTAGTACTGTATATGTGCCTAGCTTTCACCGTTTCACATGCAATTTGCGTGCAGTTACACATGTAAATTCCCCAAGTCGTTACAGATCTCCAAACAATATGTAACAAGGTTGTTGTTGTCAAGCCGATATCTGCAGGATGCGTTCGCACTGCTTGTTCCCAGTTGTTGTGACAAGTCCTTGAACAAGTTGTTTTCACCTTGTTACAAAGTTGATGACGATAACAGACCTGCTACAAGTTGTTCCAACAAGCCAATATAGGCTGTTCGTAAGAAGTTGTTCTGAACCTACTGTCGTCAACTTGTTGCGCACGTACAGGCGATGTCAGCGAGTCTGTTGGCCTCATTAATCTTCTCACAAGATGATAACAACTTTTGAGTCAAAATACTCCGCGGTTTTTTTTAAGTAAAGAGAAAAGTTTTGACAGACCACTGTCAGACATTGCCGTCTATAAATAAAGTTAATTTAGTTCATGTTTCCTACTGTGATAAAAGGACCCTTGTACCGGATCTGATTATATGCATGGGAGACCAGTAGAGATTGAAACCTAAACTTACTCTTGAAATGGATCAGGAAAAAGTTGCGCGACTCAACCGTGAAATGTATACAGCGGTTTGCGTTTCATCTACACAACCGCCTGTGAAGATCATCATATATTGCATGGAAAGCTAATTAACTAATGTTATCCAACGGTCTCCAAGTTACATAATGAAACGAATCTCTGCAGACATGCAGCGAATGCTTGCTTGAAAGACTTTAATATGAAGTCCTTTGTACACTGTGAAAATGAATTAGTTGCATTTTTCGCAATTGCTCCTGGTTCAAGGCATAAAATGGTATACAATCTTTGCCGCTCGAAAAAAAATCCTTCAACCGTTCCATCGAATGAGACTGATGCCAAAAAATCTCGGATGAAATTTTATGGAATGAATTTTTTCTATTGTATTTTAATTGCGAGGTTCAGATTTAACTTCCACTGTGATTATCACTACATCTCACTGGTTTCGTACGCGTCTCGTTGGTTAATCGGATATATTAAACGCATCACATTGGTTAATTTAATTAACGATCCCGATTAATGATATAGCGTGAATGGAAGTCAAATCTGAACCTTTCTATATTATATGACAATTCAGATATATTAATTAAAAGTCGTTGTAGAAGCTGGATTGTAGCTGGAAATTTCACGTGTAAATTTTATACAGTGTATTAGACCTAACTAGGAGGAGTTGCGAAAAATGCAACTATCAACTCTTTGGCAGGAATCGAACTTGTACGGCCTGCGATTCCGCTCTAAGTTCTCCAACCATGCAACTGAGCTCGAGGTACAGAGAGACAGTTATCGAGCTCTAACCACAAGTTTATGTATAAATACTAAGATGATGCTAATGTATACGGTGTATGTGTAAATATAAGGATTTTGGCCATCTCATTAGATACAACTAATTTCGAGTCAGACGCCCAAAATCCTGATATTAAAAGTAGGCCGACCAATCTCGCTAGAGACAAAATTCCCATGCACGGGTTGTAAAGTTATATTTAATAAATAAATCAAACAAGCATGTGGGCACCGCTAAAAATTCATAACTTTGCAATGAAAGTCATTATCGTTATTCTAATCCCATCAATATAGATTTTGCCAGAATGCCGACTTTTGCGGCCGAAAATGATCTAATACTTTCTCATGTGACTTCAGGAATTGCTGAGTAATGTTGTTTTTTTGGCAAGAAGATCTCGACATGAGCGGTTATTGAACGCATTATTAAGCAGTCGAATACATTTCATGGTTGAGAGTATCAAACTTTTTCACCGCCAACGACGCTTCTGTAAGGATACTACAGGCTATAAGGCTGACCAGCCAAAATGTCCACTGTAAGAGGTATTCCTTATTTTGGAGGAACGAAAATTGTGAGATTAATCGACATTGCCCACTAGGACAAATTGATTAAATTTTAGTTAAATTTGATTGAAAATTGGATGAGAAATTGGCAAAAATTTGTCTTGTTTGCTGGGCAGAGTAAACTGAATTTGCAATTATATTAGCCCGTTGTATAATTTATTCATGTATATAATTTAATTCGCTGACGAAGGTATAAATCTTCCCAGTCGGAAATGTCAATCTTAATTGTGCGATTGCATGCAAAAGCCAATCAAATATTCGAGTGATGCTGCATGACCTAAATTCTCGCAAGTTCAGCACTTTAGTCTTTACCCCTTATCGTTCGTCGTTTACCACTCTAGCGCTTTTGTCATTGGATCAAGAAACTGCGTGGCTTAGAAATGAAATAGAAATTAACCCCGCATAGTCGTATTCAAATGGTGTGAGATGAGTTCCTTCCATTTACCTTCTATTCATCTATCAATAAACCCATGATAATATCGGGAAAATTTTTGTCCGCCACACTAATTTTCTTCCTCCCATACGTCTATATTTGCTCATAAATAAATTTACACATAACATTAAACTGGGGATGCATTTCAAAATTACCCCAAGAATTAATGATAATTATTTCATTTCGATGAAAATTCAGATTTCCAATTACTGGACTTTAACCATTTATACAGCTGTAGAAATTGACTTGAATTGATTTCGTGCAGCTGAATTACTCATTCGACCCAGTACAAACAATTTGCATGCATATTTCAGTTAACACCGTTTAAGACATGCATTCCAATCTATTGAATTGATGAAATTAATACATGCAGAAAGCCAAAAACCTAATTCAATCTGAAACATTTTCACATTTCAGCATGTATATGTGACAATTTCACACAACCTCATAAAAAACGACAACACATTTCGGGATTCAAACTGTCGCTTGCCAACTCTCATTTGTTCGAGATCGATCTAAATTAGAGAGATCTCAAAGCGAGCCGAGGTCGGTACCTTAATTGCACCTCATGTGGTGGTGTGTCCACTAGTACTTGCACAAAAACTCGAATGGATTAACTTTATTAATAACTGCCGTAATTAAGCAGGGGAATACCACTGGCTGCTAAACAAGAAATTAATCAGCTCGGTTGCAGGCTGCTAAGCAAGAAATTGGCTCGGTTCATCTTCAAAAGCCTTCTCCATACAATTATTTATATCGAGGGTAAATGTCGAAAATCCATGCACAGAATCTACCCATCACCTTGCATTCGGTCATCACCTCAGTATATACAGCCAATTCAAAAAAGGTTATCCTTTGCAAACCTTAAACACTAAACTTAAACCTTAAACTCTAAGCGCGCAAAGCTTAATGGAAGCACAAGTTTCAAGCTAGCTTGGTAGTTGAATATTGCAGCTATTTGTGAATGAATTGTTCTCGTAAGGAGATATTTACCATGCCTCTAAGAAATGGCCCCCAATATAATTTCTAAACTGATTAAATGATGCTCCCATTATATGCTTTGCACGAGAGTTAAAGGTTTAAAGTTTAAAGTTTAAGGTTTGCAAAGGACAATCTTTTTTGAATTAGCTGTATATAAAGAGGGTCCTGAAGGGGGGGTCCCAATCCCATTTCCCACCTAAAATTTTGGCAAAATCCCAGTCCCAGTTGGATTTTTATTATAAATCCCAGTCCCAGTTATTGAAATCCCAGTCAATAAAAAAACTTTATTTATCGGTACAATAAACAGTTTTAATTAAGACTTTTAAGCCACCGTGTGTGCAAGTGGTAGACACTTTATGAAATATTGGGAGAGGTTCGTGCCGAAGGCACGGAAAATTTTTAAATTTGAATCCCGGAAATGGCATTTGCAGCATTCTGAGACACGCATAATCAGAAAACCCAGAATTTCTGGCGCCAGAGTATGCCTGTTCTCAGGTAGTGCTGTGAATAATATAGTTAACAACAAAAATCATGACCAAAGACACCAAAAACGGATCAAAATTGTATTTTAAAATACTTAAAACGTAGAAAAATTGGGAATTGACTCGCATTACCTCAATCCCATTCCCATTTTTGAGGACTTCATTTCCCATTCCCAGTGGCCAAATCCCAGTCCCAGCAACCCAAATCCCATTTTCCCAGTCTAAAAATAGATCAATCCCAGTTCCCATTTTACCCCTTCAGGGCCCTCTATAAATGAAGTAGTTGCGGTTAGAGCTCGATCGACAATGGACCTATTCCTAATATAATGAACAAAGTTTTGATCAAGACAAGTCTAGACAAAAATTTCACTTCTTCACATCACAGCTCGATCGAAAGAGCATCGAAAAATTAGTAATATTCCGAAGTTTCGTTGCGAAATATTGTATGATGCGGATAATATAGCCCTGTGAAGTTTGCCGTTTTTCAGTCATTTTGTATTACGCGCGGGAAATTGATACCTTTTTTCAGAAAGCGGTATATCAATTTCCCATGCGTATAATACAAAATGACTGAACTGAAAACGGCAAACTTCGCAGGGCTATATTATCCGCATTTTACAACATTTCGCAACGAAATTTCGGAATATTACTAATTTTGTGATGCTCTTTCAAGCTGTGATGAAATTTTTGTCTAGACTTGTCTTGATCAAAATTTTGTTCATTAGGGAACTGAGCTAGGTGCCTAGGTCCATTGGCCTGATCTGTAGCTCAGTTGGTTAGAACGATGAACCGGAATCTCATGGATGCAGGATCATTCCTATCAGAGGACCTATGTTGCATTTTTTCGCAACTGGTCCTGCATGGTTAGGTCTAATAAATGTATAAAATTCACTCTCGAAATTTCCATCTACAACTGACCCTCTCGAATCTCAAATCGATCTCGAATCGCGTTGACGGTATCAGATCGTATTTGGTTAATGTTCACACTTGGCCCGATAACTGCTCTGAATCCGATCTATATGTATTAGGATTGATCTAAATGGCTAGTGTAACAATTCATAATTTTCGTGCAAATATAACCGCTTGTACTGCATGCATCCATTTCAAGCTATTTTAAAAGTTAATGTTAAATTTCAAATTTCCCACTAACTTGACGCATTAGTCTTTTGGTGTATTTTGATTTATTGCTTTCGAAATGCCATTTTTGCTAGATTGCAGATGAAAATCAATAAAAACTCCAATTGCTTGCATATAATATCACATTAATATTCCCAGCATGCGACCATTCCAAGTTGTTTTTCAGACTTTATCCCCTAAATTGCATGTTGGTCATTAGGTTTTTAATTAACTAGTGTTTTCAGCCCGTTCTGGTTGCTGAATTCTAACGTGGGAAGTCAGTGGGCTCCAATGATGCATAGCGAACCCCGCTGGGTGTTGTTGAACAGTAAACTTCTGTCTTGGACGGTGTCTAATCACTCTGCCTTGGCTCGCCTTTGACAAAACAGCTCGACTTAAAATTTGGAAGTTTTACTAATACAGTAATAGACATCTACTCAAGTCGAAATGAAGTCGTTTCTTGTTGCAACCTTGGTAAGTGCTTATTTGATAACATAAGATTATGATATAGTTGTATTCGTCGAGTTATAAATCAGTTTACTTTTAGTTATTGGCCGTTTACATGTATATGGTTGACTCTGTTTGCGGACTGAAATTTCAGAATGCTATAATTGTGTTTCATAGTGTTATTATAGCATCTTTGGTTATATGTCTTTAAAATAGTATACAGTGGTACATTTTAATTGTCGATATAACATATGACCATTCATGGGCCAAACGCATGGTCGATTTACCAGTACTACAGTGATAATTATAGACTAATGTTCTGTAGTCCGAACTAAAATTTCCTTGGCAAGCTGTCAAAAGATTTGAATGCATGCGTAGGATTGAAATTCGGTCTACAGATGATCAAAAGCTAATTTCGAGCAAACTTTGCCAAGTTACTAGTCAGAAAATAATTGTATTTGTACCCGTAATTGCAGTTAATGTGTTCAACGCACCAATTAAATTTTCAACACGAACTGGAATTTCAATGCGGAAATAAAGACGTACGGACCAGAATATTGAATCAAAATTGTGTATGCAGAAATGAAACTAATTAATTAAGCGCTTCGCTTGTACACTTTATACTTTAACAAGCATATTTTAGCAGAATTTAATGCTTATCGTGTCGTAAGAGTTGGTAATTTAGTCATCTGTAATTGTCAGTAATCACCCGTTTTAACATATGTTTCGGCCGCGGCTGAAAGTATATCCGGTTTATCCGTTTAGAGTAAGTAATTAAGCGGGAGTGTGCTAATCAACCTAACTTTCAGCTGAACTGAGTCGAAGACTTCCTAAGGGCTCCTCTTAGGGTCGGCCATGGGGTTTTGGGTATACAGGATCCAATGGGTATTAAATTCGAGTATACTGTATATTTACTTAAATGTTATGAGTTATGACTAATTTTGAGTATTATAGGTATACAGCTTCGGATTGTTTTAGGTATTTTGTAACATTTAGACCATAATAATAGGTATTTTGATCCATATTTATCAGGTATTTAGGATACCACGAACCCCACTGGCCGACCCCTTCCTCTGCCTGGGAGCCACTGCATTATGACTCATATCTGATCATTGAAGCTAGGGGGTATCTGATCATTGAAGGGTCATGAAAGAGGGGCCATTTTTGGGCTTATTATTCCAACCCACCCAGTCATGCAACATTCCCTGTGAGATGAAAACAGAGCACCCAGAAAAAACCCCCAAGACTTTCGGTAGAGCGCTGACTGACTCTTTTCACATTTGGGTCATGAGCCTGCATGACGGCGCGCGAGACTCGAACTCTCGATCAATCTTTTGGCGCTTTGAATGATTTCGCTAGGAATTAGTGCTATATATTTTTAACTTTTGTAATGCCAGTTTTGGCCTGAATATATTTGCACGAGTCGGCCAATGAACAAAATTTAACTGAAAAAACCTTTATATATTAACTATATACCAGCCAATATATACTTGAGTTGTAAAGTTTTAGAATGAATCGCAACAAGTTTAAAATGAACTTTCCATATATACCAGGCGAATTATAGAGGGCAAAATTACTCAGATATGATTGGCTAATGATCATCAGGCCATTTTTTCTTAATTCAGGGAAAAATTACTTGTAACCTGATTGACTGAAATGCAAGCGCGGGAAATAAAAACGATGGCTTCTCGCTTTCTCATCGCGGATAATAATGTTAATAGGGAGTTTAAGCTTCACGTCTCCGGGAACGGAAAACGGCAGGTTCAAACCCTCTTGGCAAAATGTTCGTTGAACGTTTTGGTTTCATATTTTCTTTCTTGCGTCAAGAGAATAATTATGTATTTCAGTTTTAAAACAGCAAGTTCATTTACTCTTTATTGCCTGATACCGTATAATTTTTCTTTGCCTGGCGTTTGACGTATAACGCGAAGCTTAAGCTCTCTATTGAAGATGAATTGAAAACTTTTAGTAAAAACTCGAACAGTAGAAAGAGTACAATGTTATGGGTTGGAATATTTAAGAAATGGGCAGAATTAAGGAAGATCGGCGAAGACATGGAGACATACGAGGTTCAAGAACTTGACAAGTTCACAATTAACTGACGAATAAATTTTGCCCTCTATGATTGACAAGTAATCGCATAGTTCCTCGTAAAATTAAGATTTAATTTCACTTGTGTTTCCAAAGTTTCACATGCACGCGTAAAATTAAACCTTTAATTAATTTTACTCGACCCCATGCGATTACCTATACAATTCTATAACTGATTCTTTTGCGAACAAGCGCATATAAGCTATGCGTACAAACTAACTGATGAATCTAAGCAATTCAACTCGTTCAAAATGGCTAGTTTAGTTTATACAGGGTGTATAACTTCACTTCTTCAACTTCAGCATGTTCAGCGTGCGTTCCTAGATATTGCGTTTATCGATACAATTTTTATACAACAAGAAAATTAAGGCTTTTGGCAGTTTAGTGACACTTTTTCTTTTTTGTTGTATCGTTAAACGAGAAAATGGCCAAATGGTAAAACTCAATTTAATTCATCTTTATAAGTTCTATACGTATATTATGCATCCATATACCAGAAGTAATTATTCAAATTTTATCCTATAGGTCCTCGTGGCAATTTTCAGCCTATCATATGCTGCACCGGCTAAAAGGAATCGATTGGGAATAAGTAAAGAAGTTCTCAGTAAGTTCAAAAGAAATAATTTGTCTCATATATATAGAACACTTTACATTCCCCCTCCCCCCTGCAGCGCCCTTCACTGCATGAGGAAAGGTGTTCTTTCTGCATATATGTGCTCGAAACACAAGTTGAGCTTTATATATTTGCAACTTCTCTTACAGGAGCGTAGCC